GGGACTTCCGCTGTGCCTCGATGGCTATGGCAGTGGAGCATGCAGTTCTCTTTACAACAGAGGGAGCTCCAGCGGAAGAAAGAGCCGCAGTCGCCAGGCAGTCTGGCTTTTCAAAGGCTCTTGGCACGCTGCAGCCAGCAGGCACGCAGCGTGTACCCTACCCGCTACCAAGATGCCCAAAAGGAAGGTCAGCTCTGCCGAGGGGACAGCGAAGAAGGAGCCCAAGAGGAGGTAGGCACTGTTGTGGCTAAACCCACTCCTGCAAAAGAGGAAGCTAAGCCAAAAAAGGCAGCAGGAAAGGATAAATCTTCAGACAATACAGTGCAATCAAAAGGGAAAAAGGGGAGGAAAAGGAAAACAGGCTGAAATGGCTAACCAAGAAAGGAGAAAGGAGAAATTCAACCGAGGAGAATCCAGCCTCTGATGGAGCAGTAGAGAGAGAAGCTAAGTCCGAATAATATTACATACCATGTCTTATCAATGGTCCTTATTCCCCTTCTTGTACAATCCAGCGGAATATTTTTATCAACTATTTTGTAAATGCAATTTTTTTAGTAGTTCTAGAAACATTTTAAGAAGGAAGGAATCCTCCCTCATCCCTTTTTTTAAAGTGTAAATGCTTTTTTTAAAGAGGTGAAATGTGACCAGGATTGGTGTCTCAGCCGGTAATCCCAGCACTTTGGGAGGCGAGGTGAGTGAATTGCCTGAGACCTCGGGGGTTCAAGACCCACCCAGCAACCTGGTGAGACCTCATCTCTACAATAAATCAAAAATTAGCCGGGCATGTAGCGCTTGCCTGTAGTTCCAGCTACTTGGAAGGCTGAGGCGGGAGGATCGCAGGAGCCCAGCAGGTCGAGGCTGTGGTGGCTGAGAGCGTGCCACTGCATTTCAGTCTGAGTGACAGAATGAGACTTCAACTCAAAAATAAATAAATACATAAATAAATAAATAATAAATAAAATAAAGAGGTGAAATGATTCACTGGTTATTTTTTGGTACAACCAGAAAATAGTGTGGGATATTGAATTTCAGGAGGCTTTGACTGTCTTGGATGTCAGTTTAACATTCCATAGATTGGGAGTTAGATTTTATATCCTATAATGCAAAGTATACTAAGCGGCAATATGGATCACAGTTCTGCATTTAATGTCTTGAACATTTAAAATTACTTCTATTCTTATGTTGTTTTTTAGTAGAATTGTTTCCTAAAGAAAAAAAACATTCCTTAATAATGGCTCTCCTTGTCAGAACTGTGTGCACTCTGTAATATCTTTGGTTGTGGTAGTCCTGTTTGACTAATAACTTTGGTAACGTGCTGTGAAAGACTGAGAAACTGAGTATGTTGTGTATATGGCGCATTGTGAGTTGGTGGAATGTATGCAACAGCTTATAAAGATTTGAAGATACTGGTACTTGATATCTTCTTAAGGGAAATTTGCCTCCAAATTTTAAGCTGGAAAATCACTGGAATAACTTTAAAAAATAACGATATATGGTTTTTTAGATTTTTGGTATTCACGTTAAGAATTGTGTACAAATTGAAATGTCTGTGTAGTGATCCTCAACACAACCAATAAACTCAATTATGGAGAAAAAAATAAAGGAAAGGTTTTTGGTCATATATTCATGCTAAGCAGAATCTAGTCCAAACTGAGACCCCAGAAACCTTCCTTAATGTAGCTCCTTCACTAGCATTAATCCTCTCAGGAAAATCACAACCTTGAGAGTGTCCACACCTACTATTTTCATAATCTGAGGAGTTTTCATCAGGGCAGTTGTCAATTATTGATAGGGCTCTTTTAGCCTTGGTATATGAACCTTAATGCCCCCAAGGGGTAGCAATAAGTACATCCAGAAAACAAATTCCTGTATCTTCTCAGCACCTGAGATGGGGTAGACAAAAATAATTGCAGTGAAAAACTTAACCTGGAAGGGCACACAATTTCACTGAAAGGTTATAAAAATTCGAGGAGTCTTTTACAGGCAAGGGTACATGGTCAAACCAAATGCTCATCTTGAGTAATGACATAGTGGTATGATTGAACTGACAGATTTGGAAAACCATGAAAAGGGTATTGGCATCAAGATCTACAAGTATACTGAAGAGGACACTACAAAGGTCAATACAGTTTGTGTAATATTCAGAGCCTCCAGATTTAGGGAATATTTCTTAATATCAGGGAGAAGCTTATTATGGCATACCTGGATCTTGATTGGAGGTGCTGAATGGATGTGACCAACATCAGTATTGGATTGTGCCCAAAGATTCTCATGTAGCTCTTGGAATGCAGTGTGGGTAGCACTGATGTGGCTAACTGAATAGATGGGAATTTGGGTAAAATCAGTTTCTGTAGCAAAATCTCCTGGTAAGGATAACTCAAGCATTAGTTCTTTTTGGGAGAAGGAAAGATAAGCCTGTTAGGTTTCTAAGAGTTCCCTTCCCAGGAGGTTATGGGGACTGACAGGAAAAGCAAAAAGCAATCACTGAGAGTAAGGAGACCTAAATGGAAGAATAAAGATTTAGGAACCCTCATAGGTTGGTTAGGTACCTCAATCGTCTATATAAATTCAGAACTCTGAAGAGGAAACATTGAAAGTATGTCAGGATTAAGGAAAGACAGAGAGCCTCGGCATTGGCTAATGCTCTAACTAGTTTCTCCTCAATTTTGAAATCTAATCCCCTGGTTTGTCCCCAGTTCTGGTATCTAATTCATCTCCCACCTCAGCTTTTTGAGAAGCTAATTCCTCCTCTGAAAACTCAGTTTTAAGAGGGAGAAATCCCCTGAATGTCCCTGAAGCATTCCTAGTTTTGATTGGGAAAAAGTGTTGGGGAACTTTATGGGAATTTAGTTGCAGCCATATATTGGAGGAAATTAGAATTCAGGATCTAGTCCAGTCAACAGGCAGACAACAAGAACCTGAAAACTATGCACAAAGCCTCAGTCTAACAACAGATATACTTTAGTTTTCCTTAGCAGCAAAACTTTTTCTTTCCACATTGATCATATAGCAAATCTCAGATTTTAGAACCCCTTGAGGCTACGAAGCTGGACCAGGGCAAGTTTTTGAGGTAAGAAATCAACAATATTTAAAGTAAAAGTGATAAAAATATTATTCTTACCAGTTACTAATTTCATGTAATTGTTTTGCTTGATCTCATTTAGTAGTTCCATGAAAAGCACCCTAGGATTATAGTCAACTGTAAATTCTTCCAGAGAAGAATTTATAGCAGTAACTGTGAATGACAGAAACCGAGAACAACCATGGTCAAAGATCCGATGAGGGCTTAAGATTGACACGGGAAATTTTGTATATCTGTAACATGCAACCATTTAACATAAGAATCATAATCAGCCGGGTGTGGTGGCTCACGCCTATAATCCTAGCACTTTGGGAAGCCAGGTAAGAGGATTGCCTGAGCCTACGAGTTTGAGACCAGCCTGGGCAACTTGGTGAGACCTCATCAAGAAAATCTACAATAAATCAAGAAAAATTAGCTGGGCATGGTGACACATGCCTGTAGTTCCAGCTACTGGGAAGGCTGAGGCAGAAGGATTGCCTGAGCCCACCAGGTTGAGGCTGCGGTGGCTGAGAGCGTGCCACTGCACTCCAGCCTGGATGACAGAGTGAGACTCCAACTCTAAAAAAAAAAAAAGAATCATAATCACATAATCATGACACATATCATGGCATATCAGAATTTTAGAAATCTCACACAATTTTTGTGCACAACACATTTACACAAATGTAACTTGAAGGAAGTTAAACACCACTTCTTGTTTGACAATGCATCTCCTATGATTTATTAAATAGCCCTAATCATTTACTATATTTACAATATAAAAACAATATAATTTAGAACTTTGATTCTGGAGAAATCTGCCAAAGATGTCAAAATGTTCAAAGTACTCGATTAAACAGAATCATAGGTCATGGCTAAATAATAGTTATTCATTTAATTGGAGTGACAATCAAAAGACTTCAAAAGCAATACAGAAAATTACATGGATGTAGGAACCTCAGTTCTTTTAAAGCTTAGTTTTCCTAAGCAATTAGAAACCTAATGAAAACAACATGAAGCACAGGAAATCATCTTGGTAAAACACAGGATCTTTGTTTCCTAAGTCAGTTTACCTAAGAGGTAAAGAAAGCAAAATCTTCCTGTAGTGTGATTGCTTCTCCTCACAGAAAGCCTCCTTAAATCACCTGGAAATTAAACCTGATAATAAAAGTACTTGAATTTAATCAGGCACAGGAAGAGTGTGTCCAGGCTTATGAGTGTACATTATATTACAGAGTATTTAAACAAGAAAACTAGGGCCTTGAGCAGGGAATATGTGGTTCTTAGTAAAAGCACGTGAAGTCCTGGCTACATGGAACAATTCAAACATACAGAAAAGGCTAGCGTACAGAAGTAAGTCAGAATGAAGTAAAGCATTGCTTTTCTAGCTCTTCAAGATAAACACTTTAGTGTCAAGTTAAAACAGCACAGTTAGAACCAGAAAAAGCTAAAGGCGCTAACAAAAACATTGAAGGAGAGTCATTATCCCAGCAAACATCCATCATTTAATTTTACTCAACAAAACTCTAAGGGTATAGTTATTTTAAAATATTTGGGCAATCTTCCCAAGTAAACATACAATAAAACATAGCATTTTGATTAAAAAAAAAAGAAGCAGGGTCTCATTCCACGTCAAGTTGGAGTGCAGTGGCATGATCATAGCTCACTATAACTTTGAACTCCTAGGCTCAAGCAATTCACTTGCTTCAGCCTCCCAACTAGTTAGAACTGCAGGCACATACCATCATGCTAGGCTAATTTTTAGAGACAAAGTCTCACTATGCCGACCATCCTGGTCTCGAACTCCTGCCTTCATTTTCCAAAGTGCTGGGATTACAGGCATAAGTCACTGTGGCTGGTGTAAAACATAGCCATTAACAAAATTCATTTGGAAAAATTTATCCCATTCACATCCATCCAATTCATTCAATCTTTTTTTTTTTTTTGGCTATGTACACAGGGTGCTTTATTCTCCACAGAGTGATACATGCTAAGGAGGGCTTGGGCCAATGTCCCCATATGTACAGGACTGAATAAAGTGGGTCTCTGAGAAGTAGCCTGATTTTGCCTTGATGTGGAAAGGGAGATGGGGAGGATGGAGATGAACATTACAACCAGGGATGTGTTCAGTCCTATGCTGGTTCTGGGCAGGAATGTAGGGAGATAAGGCAACTCTCAGTGTGGTCACTTCCAAGGAGGGGATGCCTGCCAGGTTTGGAGGGCTTTCTGTACCACGTCTTCCCACTGGGCATCCGATATCTCCCGAGCCCAGGCAGGAACCCCTGGCGCAGGAAGGCTCACTCCAGCCATCGTCCTTTTCACCAGCTCTACATGTCCTGGGTCTATGGGAATAGAGCTGTGATTGCTCAATGCTTTAGCTCCCTCCTCATCTTCATCCTCACTCTCCAATGGGGGGTCTGGCAAACACAGCCCTAGGGCCTGGATGCGATCCTGGATGTCAGCAACTACGTCTTCACCATCCCCCACGGGTGCCAGTTCCACCTCCTCTTGTTCAGGATCTTGATTTAGGGGCTGGTAGGAGTAGCCAGCTGGGACTGTCCCTGTTTCCTCCTGGTCTTCCTCAGGCTCCTTACTGCTCCAATCCCCAGTGCCTTCTGAGGGGCCCTGATGTGGTCCCAGTTCCTTGGTCTGGGTGGAGAAGAGACACTCAGGGCCCATGGTGTTTCCCCCTAGAGCTACTGTTGCCATCCCGGCAGGGGCTGCTCAGAGCCGGCCGCCAGACCTGCAATTCATTCAATCTTAAGAATTATGCCAGGAACATTTCATGAAACATCAAATAAATCTAGCCATCATTCCAAGCTTAATTTTCTATCAACCAGTTTTACATTATTGCATACCAGCCAAGTATCATAAAACAAATAATTTTAAAGATAAATACATACATATTTTGCCAAAAACTCGGAAGACAGGCATTCCCATTAAACCACCCATTTTGGACTAGTCCCATTTGCCAAAAGATTTCTAAGTTGCAAGAATTTGAAAAGCATTTGGGCTTATTTGCTTAATTTATGAGTACTCATTTATTTATAAGCCAATTTAGTACCATAAATAATTATATAAGCAGACATATATACAAGCATATACACAAAAATACAAGCTACCACAAATAAAAAAACTTACAGCTTTAATTTAAAAACTCTAGTCATGACTCAGGTAAAATTTAGTTTAAAAAGACATTTGGATTCAAACTGCATTCTTGTAATGGAACAGGCTGAAATTTATCTGTTCCATATGGCTGAAGCCATTACCAAACTTCAGAGAAAACAAGGCAACAAACTTACCTCTCAAACAGAGAAAATTCAAACTTCTCTAAGTAGAAGTCTGGGTGTGTTTAAGGAATATCAAAATGGATGCCAAGGCGACAAAAAAAATCACAGGAATTCATCACAGGATTCCACAGGAAAATACACAGCTGAGTCCAGAAAAAATTTAGAAACATTTTCAAAATAACCAAATGAAAAAGTGAAAAAGGAGGGGGTAAAATATAAAGCAAAGGTGGCAAAAAAAGATGCAGAAGATAGGCAAAGTGGCAGGAAAGGTGGAAGAAGGTTCTTCCAAAGAGTTTTTTACAACTTTAGTTTCAGTCTCACAAGCACTAATTTCATTAAGGTGGTCACTCAATTTATAATTACTTTCTCTAAGAAAGGCAGTATAGCCTCTTGATTCTGTTTAGAACTTTCAAAGTGTCAATTGACAAAAGCTTCCCATTGTCTCAAAGGTTATATTCTTTGTTTGCACAGATAGGCAAGTTTTGGAATTTCGAAGGAATCCATTTTGGCCAATAATGCTTAAGATTATCCTGGGAAATTTTTGTCCACAGATTAGCAGTTACAACTCCCTAGACCTAAATTTTTGCTTACAAAGCCAACTAGAGTGCCAGAAGGTGGCTCACCAGGGAAACACTCAAAACATGCACTGACCTGACAAAGGCATCCCTTCCAGTGCTCTTAGTGTGAACGTTCCCACAAAACCTGATTGCCTGGCCGACTCCAAATAGGAAGGCTTCCCCTAAACCAGCGACCAGCTTTGAGAGTCTCCTCTGGAGTCCAAATGGTGGGAACAAGCAACGGTCCAGATGGAGAGGGCCTATAGGAATGGCATAGTCTCTGAGTCTTGAACCAAAGAGGGAGAGGTCTAAACTGGAGAAAACTTACCTTACACTCTCCCTCCTCCTTGGCACCACTAAGACAACTGAACTCAAGGGGCTCAGACAGTGCTAGGAAAGTCAGAGGTCGCTTCAAATCCTCCTTCTGATACTAATAATGTGAACAAAAATTTTCTGGATAGGAATTTAGAGTAAGTTATTCCAGTGAACTGTCTGCAAACCACAATGCATCTCTAATATAAAAGGAAGTTGTTTATCAGATAACAAAAAGAAGGCTCAGACTTTATAGCAGTTTCCTGACCAGATTCCCAATTAGGTTTCCTTATGCAAATAAAAAATTGAAAGTCACTTCTGATTGGGTAGCACAGCAGAGTTCTGATTGGTCAACACAGCTGATGCCAGATTGGTCATGACATTTGAGCTTTGATTGGCTGGTTCAATGAGTTCTGAAAGTCCCAAATATAAAAAGGTGCGTTTTTTTCAGGGAGCTCTGAGTACTTGTGTGATTACATGGCTCTGTTTTAAATTTAAGTCCAGTTAATCCACTCAGGATCTATCTTGAAGGCTTAGCTCTTTCAGGTTCACATTTGTTGGTGATAAATGAATTTTTATTTTATTTTATCTTATTTTTTTGAGTCGGAGTCTCACTGTCGCCCAGTCACCGCAGCCTCGACCCGCTGGGCTCTGTTGATCCTTCCGCCTCAGCCTTCCAAGTAGCTGGAATTACAGGCGTGCACTACCACGACTGGCTGCTTTTTTGATTTATTGTAGAGATGAGGTCTCGCTGCCCAGGCGGGTCTCAAACCCGCGGGCTCAGGCAATTCACTCACCTCAGCCTCCCAGAGGCGCGGGATTACAGGCTGAGCCTCCGAACCCGGCGATAAATGAGTTTTATTATCACCAGATTTAGGCGAATGTTTTGGGCTTGTACAGAGAAATAGACGACAACTTTGCTATTCCCTGAAGCTGGAGACAAAGAATGAAGCCACCTGAGTGATAGGAAAGATTTCCTCTGCCTGTTGCACCTACCGGTGGACTCCACAAGTCTGTGACTTCTCCCTCTGACACTATGGCAGTTACATGACCGTGGGCAGGGATAAAACCTAGGACTATGATAGCAGTTTAATCTCTTGTAGGCTTTTAAAATTGGCTGTGCCCTAACCAATTAGGGCAGTTGATGGCCTTGGAGTCATCCAGGAGGTGTGAACTCACACAGCTGAAAAGGAGAGAAAGAAGGGTAGGTGCATATACGTGTTTCCTTCTAGACAATTCATAGTCTCTTTTTAGTGTCTTTAGTTCATCAATAATTTTCATTTCATGGCATAAGTAGGGATTTGGGTTTGTTTTCCAAGTGCTTGAGTTTTATCAACATTGTTTTTAACCTTGTGATTTAAAATACCATTTGTTAGTAAAATAAAAGTTTATATAGTTATGTCTATTCCTAGGCTTAATATTTATTTTAATAACTGTTGTAACTGGGACCTGTTATATAATATATTCATTGGTCTAACTTTTATTACATGTAAATATTAAGCAGGTCAAAAAATTTTATGTTCATTTTTGAAAATATTATTTTCTAGGATAAGCTTTTTATTCTTCCAGGAAAGTTTACAAAGTGTGCCCCTTTAAAAAAGACCCATTGCAGTGTTCTTGGAGTTGTACTGAATTGTACTAAGTTCATTTGGGAGAAATTGATCATTGTAATTACAATCTCAGTGTAAGAGAATACAATCTCAACGTAAGATTGCCACTGCTGAACTTGGGTTCAGTTTTTCCTCAGCCAAGTATCACACTGCTTCCTGTATTTCCTATGTATTTCTTATAAAACTTAAGATTTTTGTCTTATTTTTTCTAAAATTGATATATATTTATTGTATGTTCTTTAAAAACTAAGGAATACTGGAAAGATGTTGAGTATATTTATTTATTTTTAAATGGAAAAACAGTATAGCTATCTTATTAGTATAGCTTTAAGTTGATTCTTGGGTATCAGATAGATAGTCCTCATTATCTACAACTGACAATTTTATTTCTTCTCTTTTAATAGTTATACCTCTATTTTCTTCTTTTTTTCCTCTTTGTCATTGTGAAATTTCTGTAAAACTTATAATAGCCTGTAATAGCTTGCTTAATATAAGTAACTGCATTTTTGTTCAAAATCCTCCATCTTAGCTGCTTGCTACCCAGATATAGCCCCGTCCATGTGTGACTAAAATAAGTTCCTTGTACTCACAGACCCACATTCCTGTTTCCCATAAACTGTTTCTCCCAACCGTTTAAAAACTCCCTAGCCACAAGTTCCGTGTAATTGTATGCTTTGTTAACTAAACTCAAATACTACACCTTGAAAAACTGCACTGTTACATTCTCATATTATAAGCCTATCCTGGGACATAAAGTCAATCAAAACTCCCTAACAATCAAAAGTTCCCATTTTGGTTGCTAAGTTGCTAGTTTATTGTTGTTTGGTTGCTAAGTTGCTATGTATCCTTGCAGTTTTTGACTTTAGAAGCCCACCACCTGCTTCACTCGGGGGGCCGAATGCCCTTTAGAACAATAGTCCGCTCTCGGTCACCGGCATAAATAAAGAACTCTTAATTAAATTCTCTGTGTAATGGCAATCTACCTTCTCGCACTCCAGTCATAACATTTGGAGGCCCCAGAGAAAAGTTGCCAACTTCGGGAGACAAGCCTCGCTCCAGCTCTCCCCAGTCCAATGGGAAATTATTGGGGAGATGCCCCCAGAGTTATTCAGGGCCCCATAACCTCTCATCTGGCTTAGAGCGGGATGGAATGACTGCTGACTCCTCTCATCTCAAAGAAACCTGAGTCCATCTGCATCCGGGGTAAGAAATTGTTCTGTTTACTGGTAAAAATCTGTTCTGTTTTGCTTGCGGCCACATTCTGTTTAAGTGAGTCATGGCCTGATGAGGCTGCCCTTTGGACACTATTCATTTGGACAAGACAGTCGCTGAATAAAGTCCTCTGGTTTTCTACTCTGAGTCTGTGCCAGGGATCTGTAACTTTTCTCACTTGGTCCGGACGCATCTTGTTTGTCATTGTGTTTTGTTTGTTTGTTTGTCATTTAATATGGGATCACAGACTTCTTGATCCTCCAGTCCCCTGGATTATATAATAAAAATTTTCTTCTTTAAACAACAGAGGAAGGAAGAAAAAACAAACAAACAAACAACAACAACAAAAAACAAGCTTCCGGAACCACACTTACCTCATCCCCCTTCTGAATTGCCTGCAGGCCAGGTAAATTAATTTCACTGACAGCGGTTTGTAATTAGCTATAATGCTTTTCACTGCCAAGTTTCTTATGGACTTCAAAATCTCCTTCTAGACACAAGGATTATTAATTCAACAAAGTATAAATACAAAATAACCTGAGTTTATCAATTGTTGTAAATCACAACTTGCCAATGTTTACCTGTTTTAATTCTTAATTTGGGCTGCAACCTAATTGCATGTCTCTAATGCTTTCAATTTTTCTTCAGACTTTGTCAAGATGGCTGTGTCTTCCTTGTTAAAGTACAGTGGTAAATAATTTGCAGGGAAATGTTTCAATTTACATTAATAAATTGGCTGGTCATGCATGTAGTTTAT